AAATTACTTAAAATTGCCAAATTTGCCTCTTAATTAGTATTCGAAGAACCTTTACTTAATTTTACTTAAAATTACTTAAAATTACTTAAATTTACTTAAAATTACTTAAAGTTGCCAAATTTACCTTATAATTAGTATTCGAAGAACCTTTACTTAATTTTAAAATTACTTAATTTTACTTAAAATTACTTAAATTTACTTAAAATTACTTAAAATTGCCAAATTTGCCTCTTAATTAGTATTCGAAGAACCTTTACTTAATTTTACTTAAAATTACTTAAATTTACTTAAATTTACTTAAAATTACTTAAAATTACTTAAAATTGCCAAATTTGCCTTATAATTAGTATTCGAAGAACCTTTACTTGATTTTACTTAAATTACTTAAATTTACTTAAAATGACTTAAAATTGCCACATTTGCCTTATAATTTGTATTCGAAGAACCATCTTTTAATTTTGCTTAAAATTACTCAAAATTTACTTAAACTTACTCAAAATTTACTTCAAATTACTTAAAACTGCCAAATTTACCTTATAATTTGTATTCGAATAACCATGTGTCAATTTTACTTAAAATTATTTAACAGTTGCTTAAATTATACTTAATTTTACTTAATGCTACCAGATTTGCCTTATAATTTGTATTCAGCAAAAGAATTCTGAATTCAGCTTAATCCTTCTTAATTCTGCTCAATCCTGCTTTTAAATCTAGTCATTTTTTGTTTACACACAAAATGCAAAGAGTTTTTACACACAAAAGTTTTTACACACAAAAGTTTTTACACACCAAAGCTCTTACACACAAAAGCTTTTACACACAAACACTTTTACTCACAAACACTTGCGCACAAAGACACTTTCACACACAAAAGCTTTTACACACAGACACTTGTAAAATTACACACAAAAACTTTCACACACAAAAGCTTTCACACACAGTAGTTTGTACACACGAACAATATCATGTTTTTATCCAACATCAGCCACTGAGTTGTCAAACTGAGTTGTCAAAAAAACTGTATAAGTAAAGTGATGCTAGCGACTCAATTACCCATAGCTGTGTGACATGTGTGCAGTAATTAATTGGTTGATGCTTCCTGTTTTGTTTTACATGTGTTTTTTTCTGGAGCAATATGAGTGCAGTAGCAACTAACCAGCCAGGCTGAAATATGTTCTTTTTCATGAAGTCTTTTTTGCTCGAGCAACATGAAGTTTTGGTCGACTTAGGAAGACTGCAATTCATGGTAGCCAGTTTCTACTTAAAATCAACTTAATTTTACTTAGTTTTACTTAAAATCAAAATAATTTTACTTAAAATCAACATAATTTTACTTAATCCAACTTAATCATGTTTTTCTAAGAAAACGCTTTCTGGGGGGGTCGTGGTGAGGGGCCCTCGAAGCAATACTATGATGTTTTCCTTAACCAATTATTATGGTTGGCGCGATGTGCATCAATGTCGTGGACAGCTCTCAAGAAGTTGGTTGTCCCATCCACCCAGCGATTACGAGTTGGAATAAATCATTCCATTGCGGGCGGAAAGCGTGGCAGGTTTTGTCGGTGCTCCGTCTGCGCCGTCTGTTGCGTCTGTTCCGTCTTGCGCAGTCTTGCGCCGTCTTAGCTTGCCGTCTGCGCCGTCTTGCGAGATGGTGCAGATGGTGAGCGCAGCAATTAAAACAACCGCGCTATGCGACCGCAATGTTTCATTCCAACCAGCCAGAGTCCCTCTCTCCGCTGGTGTCTCTCGCCCGTACCTCCCGCCAGCGCCAAACAAGGAGACAGCAAGCAAGCAAGCAAGCAAGCAAGCAAGCCAGCAAGCACGCAGGCAGGCAAGCAAGCAAGCAAGCAGGCAGGCAGGCAGGCAGCAAGCAAGCAGCAAGCAGGCAGCAAGGAGCAGCAAGCATTAAGCAAGCAGCAAGGAGCAGCAAGCACCAAGCAAGCAGCAGGTAAGCAGCAGCAAGCAGCAGCAGCAAGCAGCAGCAGCAAGCAGCAGCAAGTAGCAGCAAGCAGCAGGCAAGCAGCAAGCAAGCAGCAGGCAAGCAGCAAGCAAGCAGCAAGCAGGCAGCAGGCAAGCAGCAACCAGCGTTTGCCCCCTTGAAAGAATGATCAAATATACAGAGTTTTAAAGATCAACGTAATTTAACACAAAAATTGAACTTTTCCACCCCGGAGGGCCCCATAACCATGAAATCACCAAAATTGAACTTTTTCCAGGCACACGGCCTCCCGATACGACTTTTATGAGCTGATACGACTTAACGCTAGCATTGTTAATATTTTCAGATATTTTTCGCTCCAGTCGGCTCAGGGCCGCGGCAGTCGGCACAAAGCCGCCGCTCATGACAGTCGGCTCGAAGCCGCCGTGTTGACTCGAGCGGTGCGAATGCCCTGGGCCAAATGATCCCGACCAAGACTTTTTCACTAATGGCTTGGGTCAGTCACATGAGCCATACCAATCGGCTGAAAGAACTCTAACAAGCGATTTTTTTCCACCAAGCTCGTCGTGTTGGCTGGCTATTCCTTAGCCAAGTTTCTAGGGGCAGCTACTGATACGCACTCATTGCTCAGTGGCAGCGGCAGCCACAGGCTCAGCAGCAGCAGTGGGTTCAGGCTGAGTGTCAGTCGTAGCAGCATCAGGGCCCACCATTCCAACCAACTCTTCTTGCACCTGAGATTGAGCTGCACGAGCTTTGTCAGACAATTTACGAAGGAATCGCATTGTCCTGCCCACGTCTTCGCGGCTCACGCTCATCTTCTCCAGCAGCCCAGGGTCTTCGTCAAACTTGTCATCCAAGTCATCGGCAATGCAAACGAGTTGGAGCGCCAATGCACCAATCTCAGCAAGTTCTCCGTAGAGCTTGACTTTTGCCATGGGTTCCATCGCTGCTGCGGCTGGTTGCACCTCAGCTTCTGCTGTTTTCTCAGCCATGAGCAGTGAGCAAAGCGGAGGGTTGGCATAAAGTTTCAGGTTTGGGCCAAAACTCAAAAACACAGCAACAAGTCGACTTCTGACATGTTCACACATGGGATTCAAGGGAACCTCTGACTATATTTGCCAAAACTTTTCACACAGACATATCGCTGCGTCAATGGCTCACACTGCCCAGGTACCGCTTTCAAGCAAGCAGAAATCTAAGAGTCTAATGTCAAAAGGGAGCACTTTGGCTTGTCAGCCCAAAATGGGTCGACTCCCTCATGCGACCCAAAGCTGATCAGCTCAGTGCTCATGGGGCCATTGGCTCGACACAGAGCGGCCTTGACTCACCAGCACTCGGAGGATTTCTCGTCGCTGTCCTCTCCGTCCTGTTGCTCATCTTCCTGCTTGTTCTTCTTGGCCTTCTTGTTGGTCGTCTTTTTGACTTCGGTCTCCTCGTCCTTGGTCTCCTCGAGGTTCTCCTCGTCTTTGTTCTTGCGACGCTTCTTCTCCACAGGGTTTGGCTTTGCCGCGTTCTTGGGCCTCTTTTTGGACCCTGCTTCGTCGATCTTGTTCTCCTTCTTTGTCTCGTCTTCATCCTTGGCCACGGATTCAGGTCGATAAAAGGTGCTGCCTTCACGAGAGAGCCCACTGAGGATGTACTCCGTCAGAAGCAACTCCAGGCGGGATCCATGAACCTCCGTGCCGCAAATTGCGATGGCTTTGGTTCGCGAAGCTAAGGAGGCTTTGAGAAATTCACCTTGGCCCGGAGAAACATCTAGCACGCAAGTCGGAAACTTGAAGGACACTTTCTGCCTTTGGTCGCAACGAAAGGCAACCAAATAACAGCGGCTTCGACTTTGAGGAATTCCATGCTCTTTGGTAGAAAGCTTCTTGACGTAGACCTTGTACCCAAGCGCTGCAAAGCACTTCTTCATCACTTTGTGTGTCCGGGCATGGCGCTTGTTCAAAAAGGCGGAGACATTTTCTAAGATGACCAGTGCAGGTTTCCGATAGACTATGTACTTCAAGCCTTCAAAGATAAGCAACCCTCGCTTCTGCCCATCCTTTGCTCCAAGCTTCCGACCACAGCTGCTGTAGGCAGGGCAAGGAAAACCTGCGATGTACACATCGCTGGATTTGGTTTCAGTCAAAGATCTGTCAAAAATGTCCTGCTCCACCAACTTCTTCTCAGTCTTCAAGTCAAAAGCTTTATGCACAGCTTGCATCATGCTACGCTTCGCAGAATCGTTTTCGCTTCCACCAACGAATTCCATGTGCTCGGATGTCAAACCAAGCAGAGACAAAGCAATCGTCTCCGAAGAAAGTCCTGCACAGTCGGCAAAGATACGAATTTTTCCAGCTGGCATCTTTGGAGAGCCACGCTTGGATTTGTGCAGCTTCATGAAGGCTCGTAGATTGTCTATATGCTCCTCGACGACATAACTTGGAAGTTCAGGCGTCTTCCGCTTTGTCGCTTTCATTCTCAGCTGTTGTCTTTGGCTTTTGGCAGCCGCGGAGGACATGGCACGAACACAAAACGATGTTGATCTGCTTGTTCTAGTTAAAATGGATCATATGTCAACACAAAACGATGTTGATCTGTTTGTTCACACATTAATATAATTTGTCATATGTCAACACAAAACGATGTTGATCTGTTTGTTCACACATATAATATAATTTATCATATGTCAATGAATTTCTCGAACATGAAAGTGATGAGGCTGAAATAAATGTGAAAGCAGCAAATGCTTAAAGCGACTTTATCATTTACAATGCTGAAGGTGGGCCGAAAGAGGTTTTGGCCGATTGATTTTTTCGGAGTTAAGTTGGGATCCCCTAAATTTCGCCGAGAGGGGGCTAGCAAATTGCTAGTCCCCTCTCACACACCCAGACCGGCCCGGAGCCGTGAGAGGGGGCTAGCAAATTGCTAGCCCCCTCTCGACAGTCCAGACCGGCCCGGGTCCGCGAGAGACAGCATCGTTTTCCCAGAATCTGTTCAATCTCTTTTTTTTGATCTGACGCTTCCTTTCTCCAAATGTTTCAAGTAGCTTTGCTACCTTCCCAGAACAACCCCTGATTCAAAGGACAGCAGCCAAAAAACTTTTGTCTTTGGCTTCACACGTGTCTGGCAAGTGCTTCACAAACCCCGATTTCTGCAGAGTCAGGAAAGACTTCTTTTGTAGGCTTTTAGCTTCCGGATCATCCTCGGCAACCAACGATATGGACCTGTTCTTGTCCAGCCTCTCCACTTTGAGTCTACGCCAGCCAGTGGTTTGCACAACCCAAGACAGGACCTTCATGAAAGCCGTATGCTTCGCTTGAAATGCAGCGGAGCAATGAATACCAACGTGAAATTCTCGAAGTCGGTTGAAAGCAGCCTTCTGGTACTGCAGTTTGAAGCCTTGTCTCCCTTCCAGCACTGCTTTCGATAGCACACAGCCACCACAAGCAACGGCAAGCAAGTAGATCTTCTCTGAAACGACTTCGGAAGAAGCAATGAAAACATCAGCCAAGCGTGGATCCTGCAAGTCTAAGATTAAATACGACGATGAAAAGAAGCAAAGATGTGCTTAAACAAATAATCTAAGCCGAGCATCTGAGACATATACCAAAGGAAGCAGCAAGGGTCGAAGTCCGGCTTCCTCGCACTAAGTCTTTCTGGCACCCAAGGATTTGAAATTCCATTGCTGTGCGAAGCATTTGTTTTGCAATTCTACTTTGTGCTTCGCCATCATTTGAATGCGCTTGTTGTCCTTGGCATCACATGTGCCTTTTTCTTCGAGACCTCGGAAAAAGGGTGCTGACCGGCATCACTCGTCAGTAAGTAGCCGTTCTCGGCAGCTTCCACTGCTCTGTCCAAACGACGTTTATTCTGCAGCTTGAGCTCTTTCATTCCTTTGGCAGACAGTTGCAAATCTTCAGCGGAGGGAAGTCTGGAAGATGACGAGGATGTCACAGATTTCTGAATGGCCTTCTGTACAGAAGCTTTCTTTTTTCCAAAAAAGTATGTTCGGACTTCGGATGCTTTTTCTTTTTGGTGCCTTTGTCAAACCGGGGCTTTGCTTGTCGTCCTTTGTGCCTCTTCACTGCTGCTGCATAGAGTTGGCGAGCTCCTTCGATGATGTCTTTCTGACTTTCCTTCCCACTCATTGTCAGCACGCTGATGCTCCGACGTTCAGTGTCGGCGGCTTTGGGACCGAAGCGACCTGTGTGATAGCAACGGTCAGCTTTGGAAAAGCTCTGCTCCACTCCAGACCTTGACGGCAATACCCACCAAAATGAAATTAAAGAATGCCATAATTTTATGAGTGCTGCCAAGGGACGAAGAAGGAGTCCAACAAGCATAAGCTCGCAAAGCCTTTGGAAGATGCTTCAAGGCATACTTCTTTCGTGCATGCGCATTCTTCTGCGTGTGGTCATAGGCAGCTTTCCAAGCCTCTCTGTTGTCTAGCTGAGAAAGTCTTTTTTGAGCTTCTGCTATGGGCCGCAGAGATTCCCATTCATAACGAAGACCAGCTGGATCAACATCCAAAGCAAGCGCGATTCGTCGCAAGCAAGCAGAGGTCTCTTTTGGTGCCGGTTTCGTCGTAGGTCTGTCGCTCAAGTTGAAGACAAGCATCGCATTGAGGACTTCAAAGTGAGGAAATTCAGCTCGCACCGTGGCTTCGCAAAGGCGGACCCAAGGCTGAAAGTCTTGCAGCGCTTTGTCTTTCACCGCCGCACTGACTCGTAGTTGGCGTCCTTGGCCCCCACTCAAAGCAAATAATGTTCCCGACTCCAAAACTTCCACCATATGTTTGGAATACCCGCTGATCTCCCAGGCCTTGCCGTGAAGGAATTGTACATGGATTTCATCCAAGAAATGGCCGATCTCTTGATTCAAAAGGGCAGGGTCGCACGACTCATTGTCTAGAAAGCGTGTAAGCTGCAGCAGCGAATCGGCTGCGTCTGCCCCAAGGGCCAAGAGCAAAAGACGATGAGGCGAAATATCGCGCAACCATTTCCGTGCCCAGTGTGCATCCTCCCTGGTCGAAGAAATTCTATGTAGAACTCGAAAGAAGCTGTGCACATTTCGCAGCATGCGTCCCATTGGCTTCGCAAAGCTTGCAAAGCGATGTTTCGCCGCGGAGAGGCTTGCTGCTCTTGGACCGTCTCCTTCTTGATGCACATAGTCTTCAAACCATCGGCTGAAATGCTGCGAATTGAAGATTTTTTGTACTGGAGAGTCAGAGTGCCGAATGGTGCAATCGAAGGTCTCCTGCGAAAAGAGATGGACGCATGCTGCAATGCAAAAAAAAATAGCCGCACAATTATCATTTAAAATTTCAAAAGCCTCCTGCAGAACGGCAATGCAAGACCACGGTCTCTTCACCAGGCGTGTAGACGCGTGTGCACCATCGCGTCCAACCAGGACAACATTTGCGAGAAACGGATCCCGATTGTGTCGTTCTTCAGCACTCTTCCGATTACCTTTCATGATGTTGGATGCCAAGAGATCGGCAGGGTGACTGTCAGTGGTAAGCATGTGAACGATGCTTCGCATATGATTGAACAAACTGCGATCAAAGCCTCCCTGTTGCTGCAAACCTTTTCCAAGACGAGGTGCGTTGAAAAAACTCGTGCAGAAAATGCGCATGGCCTTTGCAGTTGCTGTGACAATGTCTTCAGCACTCCCGCCTTTCATTCGTACGCAGCCCAGGGTGCCGCTGCAAACGTCCATGTCGTTGCTACAGCTTCTGAAACGAATGAGCAGCTTTCCTTTTCGCTCGTCGCGAACGAGGCAAAGAGTAGTAGCTTTGCTCAGCTTGCAACGCCAAAGGCGCAGCAGAGATTCTGATATGCACCAATGCATGAGCACGGTTCTGTCACTGCAGCTTCCTCCGTTTCTCATAGAATGCCCTTTCCCGATGTCTTCGAGCTTCCCCACAAAGTCAAGGTAGGAGGGTGCAGACACCAAATCATTTTCAGAAATGCTTCCTTCCATGAAGCGCAGTGCTTCTTGGTGCTTCTGACTGTCTTGATGCCGCCTTAAGGTGTAAGACTTCAGGCGGTGCAAGCCGACAGCGAAAGCGGCAAAGTTCTCTAAGTTGTCACTGCACTTCACAGGCATCCTGTTGGATCGGCAAGGCGTTGGCAAGACATTTTTTTCTGAGAAAATACTCGTCGTCGAAGACATTTGACATGCAAATTGAGCGCAGGCGCTGCAACCAAAGCCAAAGCCGGAGGCATCATCGTTCAACCGCCTGCCAAAGCGAAGCCAGGGAAAGAATTTAAACTTGCGGCCTTTCCGCGCCCACCAGCACTTGTCGCAGGGTTTGTCTTTGCAAACACGAAAATGCCTCAAAGCTTTGCCATGGCTCCACAAACGAACTGGAGGTTTACTACGGAAGTCGCCCTTTCCCATACTGCTGAAAGCCAAAACTTGACTGAGAGAGATGATTAATTAAATGGGAAACATCGTCGTGTATACCTATATATTGATACTGATACGACGAAAAAAGGAAAGACAGCAAAACAACATGGCAGCTGTAACATTTTTCTCACCTGGACCATGGTTGTCCTGCCGTCCACAGCTCAGCCTAACGTGGCGCCACTGCGTCCTATAGTGCGACCGGTCTCTCAGTACTCATGAGGCACCAGGAGCAAACTCCCTGTCTAACTCCCGTTGGGCTACTTGGACGTTCTCGAGCTCAGAGTCAAAGCTGACGGCTGCTTCGCGCGCGATCCTGGCCGATGTTCTGAGGGCCTGTTGAGCCCTGGTGAGGGCTCGGCTAAATGCTGACAGCTTTGCGGCTGAGGTTGTCAACCTTCGCCTGAAGCCACACAGGGACGGCGCCAGTTTGCTTCGGCACCGCCAAGGCCTGGGAAGCGGCAGACGCGAGAGCAGGTTCAGGCTCCTCCTCGATGTCTTCCTTCGAAGACTCTGCCGAACTGCTGTCCGAACTCTTCAGCGCCGCCGGCTTGGGCGGCGGTGGAAGCCTGGAAGCGTAGGCCTTTCGGCCGGCATCGCCTTCTCAGCGCGCCTCTGCTCAGCACCACGACGACGACGATCTCGGCCTCGGCTCCTGCTCCGAGACCTCCTCCTTTTCTTAGTCTTCTTCTTCTTCTCCTGGTCGTCAGTCTCATCAGGGCCATGACGGCTGCCGCTGTAGCGCGGGGCTGTGGCAACAGGACCAGAAGAAGCAGGATGCCCCATGGAAGCCTTGGGGCCTGCACTGTAAAGGCCCATGCCACGTGGCGGGCGACTCGGCTCCGGCGGTCGCTCCAGGCCCGAGCCCTTTTCATTGGCTCGAGAGCGGCCAGGACCGTCAGCACCACGACGTGGATCGTCCGACATGGCTCGACAACGAGGGGAAGCAAAAAAACCAAACCAGGTCTTGAGAAACATCCCTGCCGCAAATGATGACATGATGACAAAGCCGGCACTGAATTCCAAAAAAAGAACAGTCACCTGATGGAAGCTATTAGCACAATATCGGCAATTTTTTCCTCGACCCTTGCCAAGTGGACCTTTGCCACTTCCTCGCTTCTTATGCTTCCAGCCGCCGCTTTTACGGCTGAAGCCTTGCAAAGCTCGCTGCATCGCCCTCTTCGAAGGCTTCTCCTCATCTTCGTCACTGGGCGCTTCTTCAGCAACTCCAAGCAAATAAGGATCCAGAGGAGGAGGACGAGGTAGATGCTCTGGCCATATCTCGTCAGGGTCCTCCTCAGCAGGCAACTTGGACGCCTTATCCGCCATCAACTCCTGGTCCTTGTCGCCTACCAGCTCCTTTTCCACCTTTAACGTCTTTTTGCCCTTTTTTTCTTTCTTGTCCTTCTTACGCTTCTTGGCTTTGGGCGGCGACGATGATCCAATCTCCTCGTCCTTTTCCACCAAAGCACTGAAAGACAAGTCGCCGCAAGCTTCCAAAAATCCGTCCATGTGGCCCCCCGGATCCATTGTGAGCCCTGCAAAGCTGAGGCAATCCCATCATGTGAGTAATGAACATGACAACCAAGAGGACGAAGTAAGAAGCCTGGCATCCAAGCGACAGTCGCGCAATCTATAATTTTTCCGAACCCGCAATCTAAAGTGTGAAACACCGGGCCCGCGTCAGAACACTGTCGCTGTTGCAACCACAGTCGGCTCAAACCATGCTGCCGCCGTCGCAGTCGGCGCAAGGCCGCCGTGACATGCTTAGCAGTCGGCGCGAAGCCGCCGCAACATCGCAGTCGGCGCAACGCCGCCGCAACAAGGCAGTCGGCACAATGCCACCGCAACAACATGGCAGTCGGGTCAGAGCCGCCGCTAGCAGTCGGCACAAAGCCGCCGCAACATGACAGTCGACATCAAAGCCGCCGTGCCCATACGCAAAGCTGCCAAACCCTGATCCCAACTGGCAACAGCGAAAGCGAAGATGAAAGGTGATCTCACCACCACGCTCAGCATTTTTCTCCCCTGTCCAGACGAAGTCATCTGAAATTGCGACGAATTAATTTAAGCCCTGGCGCGCCCTCAAATGTTGCTCCAAACGCTCACCGAGTCGGAGTGCAGAGACAGAGCCCTGCAGCGCAAGCGATCCACAAAAGACAGCCAATTGCCAATTTTATTGGGGTCTGAACACAGCCAAGACACACACCCAAACAAGTAGTGGATGTGCTTCTCCAACTGCTCCGTTGTAGTTCTTCGCACCAGTACCATTTGCACATACATCGGATGAGGTTTTGAAACTGTATACAGTGGACTTCTTCTGCACCTTGTGCCTTTTGCTTACCATCCGAGGCGGAGGCATGCTCACTCCTTTTACCATCATTGCCTCAGTCCTGTGAGCCATCAAACCTGCAGAAGTGTCGCAATGGAAGGCCGGACCTAACTTAGAACAACTTGTTCAACGTTTAAACAGGTTGACAACCAGGGACCAGCCGCCGATGCTTCCAACACAGTGGACCACGGTCGGCACGAAGCCGCCGTGGCAAGAGGACCCCCGACCATTTTTCTCGCACCATGACCGCGACGATATAAAGAGAGGTCGTGTTGACCCCACATTCCGCAACCATTAGAGGCATGCATGGTTGTAAAAGTCCTGAGAGGTCGTGTTGACCCCAGATTCCGCAACCATCAGCATGGTTGTAGCACTCCAAACACTCAGACCAACTGCCATGAGTCGTCGGAGTCCACGTCGCCCGCGTCGAGAGGAAAATGGCTACGCAGCAAGGGCGCCACCTCGTCTTCAAAGAGCTGGAAGACATAATCGCGCTGCCATGCGCGAAGTCTGTCCGCGATCGATTCATGCCAGGAGCAAGTCACGCATTCCATTGAACCATGCCCAGGAATAACAAGTCCCGAGGCCGGCCATCATCAGCAAAGCGCGGGTGGCACTCAAACCGGAAAAACCCAGATTGAGAATTCACTTGGCCAAAACTCAACTGACGTCTTCTGGCACCCCTGCCCACACAAGCAAAGTCGCGCAAATTCATCAATGAGCCATTGACAAAGACCTCCCACCGACCTCGGCCTCCAAGTGCCATGCGTCGACCTCGGGTCTGGCGGATGAAAGCTATCTCACCTGAGGTCAGCAAAAGCAACCACTCATGAGGTCGGTTGGCCCGCACGTCCTTGTACTTGTACAAGTATGCCGACAGCATAGAAGACGCTGACAAAGTGCTTGCAGCCATGGCTTCGAAAAAAGACACCCTTAAACTGCTTAGAGCCCTTGACGACGAAGACAAACCATTCCGTCACCAAAGTGAACACTGACACATTCAAACTCCTACACAGGAACAGCACCACTCGGTCTCTTTTCAACAAGCACCACAACGCAGAGAGTCGCCGCATTAATGCGAGGAACTTGTCGACGACGGTGTCAATGGAGCGGCCTGCCGCCGTGAACACAGTCGGCAAGAGGCCGCCGTGAACACAGTCGGCACAAGAGACCGCCGCGGACACAGTCGGCTGGTTGCCGCCATGAACACAGTCGGCATGAATCCGCCGTGAACGCACACAGTCGGATGGAATCCGCCACGAACACAATCGGCTGGTTGCCGCCGTGAACACAGTCGGCCAGACGCCGCCGTGAACACAGTCGGCACAAGAGGCCGCCGCGAACACAGTCGGCTGGTTGCCGCCGTGAACACAGTCGGCAAGAGGCCGCCGTGAACACAGTCGGCACAAGAGGCCGCCGCGAACACAGTCGGTTGCCGCCGTGAACGCAGTCGGCAAGAGGCCGCCGTGAAGACGTGAAGACAGTCGGCCGGCACAAGCCCGCCGTTGACACAGTCGGGCCGACCACCAGTCCCGGCACAGATGACTGAAATTATTATTATTATTATTTTTATTGAACATGTTCTCATATAGTAAACAAGTAAACTGTATGTAAAATGTTAGTCTCAGAATACATGTTGAAATAATAATAATAATCAGTATGGATCGCTAGGAAACAGCATGCCTCATCATTGAACTGAATGTCAGAATGCATAATATCAGAATGGATTTAATCCGGAAGTGCTGACACTTGCCACCAATGTTATCAGAAGTTAAAAGGATCTGATTTATCTTCGCTTGTGCCAACTGACTGTCAACCAAAAAGGGCCCCAGGGCCCTGGAACAACATCAGCAAGTCAACTCACACACAACTTGCTCTCCCGCCGCTTCCCGTCATCACACATACAACTTGTCATCACACAACTCACACACACACAGCTTGCTCACATACAACTCAACTCACACAACTTGCTCACACACAAATCAACTCACACACAACTTGCTCACATATCACACATACAACTTGTCATCATATATCTTGCTCACACACAACTCAACTCACACACAACTTGCTCACACATACAACTTGTCATCACACAACACACACAACTCAACTCACACACAACTTGCTCACATGCAACTCAACTCACACAACTTGTCGTCACACAACTCACACACAACTCAACTCACACACAACTTGCCTTACTCATACATTAGTCATACACACACACACGTATCATCACACAACTTGTCCACACACAACTAGTTCACACACAACTTCCTCACACACAACTTGTTGCTCACACACACCTTGTCCTTCCTGACATCCACCTTCGTGACAGGCGTGGCACTTGGCGACATCCACCTTCGTTTCACGTGGCAGGGGTGGCACTTGGTCACATCCACATTCGTTTCACGTGGCAGGTGTGGCACTGTGGCACTTACGGCACTGGGCGGGCTCTGGTGGCCCACCGGGTTCTCAGCTGACGCCGTGGACGCCGCGGCTCTTTGCGTGGCAGGCGTGGCACTTGGTCACATCCACATTCGTTTCACGTGGCAGGCGTGGCACTTACGGCACTGTGCGGGTTCTCAGCTGACGCCGTGGACGCCGCGGCTCTTTGCGTGGCAGGCGTGGCACTTGGTGACATCCACCTTCACTTTGCGTGGCAGGCGTGGCACTTGGTGACATCCACCTTTGTTCACGTGGCAGGCGTGGCACTTGGTCACATTCACATTCGTTTCACGTGGCAGGCGTGGCACTTACGGCACTGGGCGGGCTCTGGTGGCGCACCAGGTTCTCAGCTGTCGCCGTGCACGCCGCGGCTCTTTGCGTGGCAGGAGTGGCACTTGGTGACATCCACCTTCACTTTGCGTGGCAGGCGTGGCACTAGGTGACAGGCGTGGCACTTGGCGACATCCAGCTTCATCTCCCAGAACTTCCATTCTTCCTTATTTAATTTCATTTTTTTTAAAGGAATTCCACCTTAATTAAGGAGGAATTCCCTTAATTAAGGGGAAAATTTTCCTTAATTAAGGAATTCCACCTTAATTGAGGAGGAATTCTCCTTAATTCCCAAAAGCATCTCCGATGCTTGGGTTCTCGTTTAGTCACATTTGCCGCGAGGGGGCGATACGGATTTGACGAGAGGGTGGACGGAGGGGAAACCGTGGGAAATAGCTTGGGGAGAGCTCCGTTGGGAGGGAACGGATGGAAGCAACGATTGGGTGGACGGAGAGGAAACAGTGGGAAATAGCATGGAAAGAGCTCCGGTGGGAAGGAGCGATACGGGAGTGACGAGAGGGTGGACGGAAGGGAAACTGTGGGGAATAGCTTGGGGAGAGCCCCGGTGGGAAGGAGCGATACGGGAGTGACGACAGGGTGGACGGAAGGGAAACTGTGGGAAATAGCTTGGGGAGAGCTCCGTTGGGAGGGAACGGATGGAAGCAACGATTATAGGATATTATAGGTGGACGGAGAGGAAACCGTGGGAAATAGCTTGGGGAGAGCTCCGGTGTGAAGGAGCGATACGGGAATGACGAGAGGGTGGACGGAAGGGAAACCGTGGGGAATAGCTTGGGGAGAGCTCCGGTGGGAAGGAGCGATACGGGAGTGACGACAGGGTGGACGGAAGGGAAACCGTGGGAAATAGCTTGGGGAGAGCTCCGGTGGGAAGGAGCGATGCGGTCCGGTGGGAAGGAGCGATACGGGAGTGACGACAGGGTGGACGGAAGGGAAACCGTGGGAAATAGCTTGGGGAGAGCTCCGGTGGGAAGGAGCGATACGGGAGCGACGAGAGGGTGGACGGGTGGGAAACCGTGGGAAATAGCTTGGGGAGAGCTCCGGTGGGAAAAGGAGCAATACGGGAGTGACGACAGGGTGGACGGAAGGGAAACGTGGGAAATAGCTTGGGGAGAGCTCCGGTGGGAAGGAGCGACACGGGAGTGACGACAGGGTACGGAAGGGAAACCGTGGATAGCTTGGGGAGAGCTCCAGTGGGAAGGAACGATACGGGAGTGACGAGAGGGTGGGCGGAGAGGAAAGCGTGGGAAATAAAAATAGCATGGGGAGAAAGTTCCGTTCGGAAGGAGCGATAATACGGAAGTGACGACAGGGTGGACGGAAGGGAAACCGTGGGAAATAGCTTGGGGGGAGCTCCGTTGGGAAGGAGCGATACGGAAGCGACAGGAAGGTGGACGGAGGGGTGGGAAATAGCTTGGGGAGAGCTCCGTGGGGAAGGAGCGAGACGGAAGCGACAATAGGGTGCACGGAGGAGAAACGCTGGGAAATAGCTTGGGGAGAGCTCCGGTGGGAAGGAGCGATATGGAAGCGACGAGAGGGGACGGGGGGTGGGAAATAGCATGTGGGAGAGCTCCGGTGGGAAGGAGCGATACCGGAGTAATTAAGGGCTGATGGCCCATACCTTGCCAAAATGATGGATGGCCACTTTCAGCTTGGCATCTTTCCTGGTCTTGCAAGGTGACCACACCCAATGGGATCAGCTTCATGGCCTTCTTCCTCACTGGCTGAAGGGTATAGCAGCCACTTGGATAGATTGAAAATGAAATTTGGTCTGGCTTCACCTGGTGGGCTGTGTATGTCTGGTGGAGCACCATGGCCACCTGAAGCTTTTCAAAATCCTGCTGGACCAGCAGCCCAGGCATATGCATTTGTGCAATGGGCAAAGGGCACTGCATTGGCATTTTGTTCTTGGTGACTTTCCAGAATTTCAGATCTTGGTGATCTACATCCACATTTTTTGGCTGGTCTGCCAAAATGGCTCTATGCTGGAAGACTGCCTTTTGGTCATCCACTGACAGCAGCTGGAAAACTTTGGCTCCATGCTTCTTGAAGTAGCAGTACCTCATTGTAGCACGCAACATGGCACAAAAATGGCACCTATCGCTTTTGCTCTTGATTGCTTCAACAAGCACAATGTTCAAAATATAAAATATGAAGCAGCCAAGGCACATACCATCAATCTGGATGTGGCTGTTCTGCAGCAACACCAACTCTTTTGGCTTTGCATTCACCACATCTGTCACTGGTAGCTCTTCTTTGCTTTGGCTGCCTGTGGTTCTTTCCTTTGATTTTTTCATGTCTTCTGTGAAAGCTCCCAAAATGGATTCTAAGGATTCAAAGTCCTTGTCTTCCCTGGAAAATTTCTGCTTGCCTGTCAAGAAAAGCATAGTTCTCACTGCCATCCTTCCAAACACTTGTTGGTGTGGCTCTCACTGTGGCTGCCATCACCCTGGCAGCTTTCTATGGTCTTCCATGCATCTGTCAACATCTTCTCTGCCAGCTGAACTTTGGGAAAAACATTGCTGGATTTGAGCTTGTCCAGATCATGGCAATGAAGCACTTTGGCATACCCATCACTACATTTGCTGGTTGTCAGCATGGTGGCCCATGCACTGGCCCTGATGAAAGGGTAAACACAATCAGATTGCTTGAAGTCTAGCGTCTAGCATTGTCAATCCTTGGAAGAAATCTTGGCCCATCAGCAAGGTTGCATTGAACTGCTGGGAGAACCTGCTGAGGAACTTGATGATGGGGAAGTTTGGTGAACCTCCTGCAAACTTCTGGACATAGATGGCAATGAATGGAATTGATTCCTTGCATCTCTGGTCTCCCTGGCTGGCATTCTGGCAAGCCTGGGCAAGGCCAAAGGCTTGGTTGAAAAAGTGAGTCATCAGACAAGCCACCTCAAGCTCACCAATGGCTTTCCCAATGCTGTTTCCACTGTTCAGTGCCATTTGGGTCCATGATGGCAGTGTGGGTGTGGAATCTTCCACTTCTTGTGCCAAAACAATCCACTTCCAACCTTTGGCAATGCAATCCCAAGCTGGGTCACTTTTGGGCAACTCTGGAAGGCCATCTGGGCCAGCAATGTTCGCTTCCACACAGCGAAGCCAT